CCAACAATTGATCAGAACCTTGTCAGATGGTTGTTGGTCGTCCCATGCATTATTTTGGGTTGTTCTCCAGGGTTTATACCTCAAAAGGTGATATTTACAATATAGACCAAAATTTGGACCTTTTGGATTAGGAGAATATGTTGGAATATTTATGGTATATAATATTTTCTGGCAATTTTGTCAGTTCATGGTTAACAACTTTGTATGTTGTAGCAAAATCAACAAAGTTCATATTTATTATATTTTGTGAACTTTCATGTTGTCGACAATTACCATACACATCAAGAAGTGAATAATCAGTGCACAATTCTCCCTCATCAATACTTGCAGTATCACACACTCTATGTGAACCATTTAGACTAACTTTTAATGACAACAAATGATGCATTGAGCTTCATAATCTCAATGACTTCATAACTACATTCTTAATAACTCTACAAGGGTCAGTATTACTGTCAACATTTTGTACAATAGAATTGAATGCCTGATTCAGTATAGGTGATCTTGGCTCACCATTAGCTGCATATTTTGTGAGATATTCAACACAAGCATAGTGATCAATAACAATATGAATATCACTGTTAGCTCTCCATCCTTGGAGCTGAAGTTGTTGTTGGTTATTTAACCTTGAGTAATTTCGTTTAGTCACAATTTTAGCTTGATAATGCTCATCACGTACCTGAAGTGTGAATTTTTTCAAATTCTAATTTTGTCTTATGACAAATATCAAAAGGAAAATGAAATCTACATTTCAACTTTGTTTCATTTGACTTCTTTCTAAGACAATAACTTGTACTACAATGAGTATGTTGTTGGGTGGCTCGATAGTCAAAATCAACCTCGTACCCAGGGCTAGTCGCGAATTGAAGGCGGCGACGTAGCCCTGGTAAACGCTGGTCACGTGTCAGGCAAATACTCCAAGATTCTTGGAGTATTAGCCTGCGAGCGGGCTTTGTGGAAATGAAGACAGGGGGGCGACGAAAAGTTCACGAATGGATCTTGAATTGCCGCAGATTATTTATATTCTTTTATTTTTTGTTGTAATCTTTCTTCTTAATATGTTACGTTTATATATTACGTCGAATGTACATCAATCTTCTTTTATATCGCATCATGTAAATCGCCGAGGAGGCCAGGAGGCGATGTTTCGAATTTCGAAGCAGTGAAAATGGAGCCAATCTCGTACAGACTATTTGTGATGATTTCCATCAAGTATAAAAAGGTACAGTATATATGAATTTGAAAATGTATTTCATTGTTACAAATTATTTAGCAGATTCCCATTATTTGTTTATACACTGTCTAGCTCTATGAAATATATATTTCGAAGCCTATTTACTGTAATATATTTTATACAGTATGTTATTAAATATAGTTGAATTTGTATTATTGTAGTTAAATATTGTGAATATTGAGAAACACATGGCCAGACTTGAGAAACGTGTTTACACTTTAATACAATATTATTAAACTACATTTTACAGCAGTATTATTAAACTTCAAATACTTTGTATTTACATTTACAGTATTAAATGACCTGAAATTATTTAAATGAGCCATTACTGTAATAACAGAGTGGCCAGGTTGACAAAGCTAAAATCTGATGAACCTAACCTGCTAGGATATTTCAATAGTCAAACATCAGTTTCAGCACTCCAGCTGGTCAGGGATTTTTTAGGGAAAAGTTTTAGCACCCCATTGTAAAACCTGCCCTCGAATCTCACAATTTCATTATTTTGTTCCCTTGCCCCTACAATCTATATTTATACCTTTTGTGCCCTTGAGATCTTTAAAAAAATTGCCTAACTCTGCAGTATGGCATGTAACCTTGTTGCCATATTTATTTTCTGACTTCAGGCTTCAATAAATTTCTACTCTAATACCCTACAGAGATGGGGCCATATGTATGAACAATAAGAAATGATTTCTTCATCTATTATTGACCCCTTACCTTTCACCCAATTTTAAAATTAAATTTACTGAATGATTTTGAAGTTTTCTAGATTATTGAAAAGAACTTAATGGGTACAAGAAATGGGGCAAAAACAGTTGAATTAAGCAAGATGCAAGTAACAATGAACAAGACCGGGTCACTGGATGGTATTTCAGCACACTGGTGGACATGCAACCTAATACCTGCAACCTGTGTCACATTTATATATATATATAGTTTTACACTGTACTGGAAAAATAATTTCAAGGAATTTGTAGAGATTCAGAATGCACACTTCATGGTTTATTCAATCACCAGCATGCATGAATCATTTTATGTTATGAATATTTTTTTAAAATTATTCTCACTTTATAGATAAAATTATATCAATTTTTAATATCATAAATTAATATATAGTAGCTTTTGATTAAACAAGTTATAATAATATATCAGCAAATAATGACTGGTCTCTCTGAAATCCATATAGAAAGGTTCAAATTTGACTTCCACTACCACTACTTGATCTGGCAGTTGCATCCGATTGTTTGATTGGATAAATGAAACTTATCTAGTTAATGATAGCAATAGCAGTAGTGGAAGTCAAATCTGATCTCTCTATTATTTTTGAAGGTTTGCTCTAGTCACGTCAATTCAGGGTTGCCCATGCAACTTGGTTAGCACAGCTAGCTCTTCAAGTTGGAGGTCCAATTCTTAGGATTCTGCAAATTAATTCTAGAAACCTGGCTTTGGTTTGGGCTAAACAAAAATCATCACACTGTTTATCATGCTGATTTGGTTGTTAAGTTAAAGTCCAGGCTGCATGTTTTTTTGTCCTGCATATGGCAGATGGGACAGTCTGGTTTCCAAGTGTTTATGTGGGGAATTAATATTAATCAGGACTGGCTTCTGAGTGAAGGTCTTGCCTGCTTTATGTGAGAGCAGGCTCTATGTGAGATTCCAATTGCTACACAGCATGATCTCAGTGCTCTTCCTCTGAAACAATGCTTCGTTGCAATATCATCCAGCAAGTGCAAAAATGTACTACCACGGTCAAGGATCATTTGGCATGTTCATCGACTATGTTAACCCATTGAATGGCGCCATGCACCCTCCACCTGACAAGTAAAATTGTCTGGCGTTAGACAGAGTAAACTAGCAAAGTAGGGTGCATCTGGGTGCATTGGGCCATTCCATTAATTAATGTATACACCCCCTATGGACAAGTTCAATAAAATTTGAACCCCTAAGAAAAAAAGATCAAAGTGCCGACACCAACCCCCCCCCCCCGAAATTAAGAAATTTTTGCCTTATCCCTCAGAAAAAAACGCAAAGATCAAAGGATGCCGTCATGCCGATGCACACAACCCCTCAGAAACGGCTTTTTCAACCCCCTCAGAAATTCTAGTCCATAGATACCACAGCACAACACTTGTACATATACATATACAAGTAATACAACAGCAATCCTTTTATATATTTAATAGTCATATTTACATATTGGTGAAATATCAATGTCCATATATTTATAGGGATGTCCATTGTCCATGAACAGATGAACTTGTCCCTGTTTGAAGCTAATGTATTCATATCTTTTGTATAAGTTGTCCCTCTACAAACCAACTTTTAGTCATTATACAAGAGTTGAATTTGCATAAGTCGCAACCAACTGAACAAAGTACTATTCCATAAACCTGTGCAATGATCGAGCGTCTTTGGCGACATATCCATGTCTTTTAAACGTCTCATTGGAACAAATCTCACTGAGTTTTTTCTACAGAAAGTATTGATCCATTTGATAGATCGTCGTACTTTGAGAAAAGCTTGAAGTGCAAAATTCAGAAGGAAGATTGAAGAATTTCGGAGATAAAAACTGTTTGTCTTCGAGTTTCACCTATTCACCCCCCGGTTGAGAAAAGTAACAATTACGTAATTTTGGAGTCACGTGACCAGCATTTACCAGGGCTATGTCGCCGCCTTCAATTCGCGACTAGTCCTGGGTACGAGGTTGAGTCAAAATAGGGCTATTTTGGGAGCACTATTTGGTATACTGCAAATGCCTTCCTCGTCATTTCATTTAAATAAATAGTTACAATGGTCTAATAGCCTATACTTACAAAAAAAATTTGCTCCATATCTATAGTTGCTAAGGGATCACACCCCTTTTTCCACACCCACCATTTTTAACGATGTTGAACTGTAGGTTATGCCAACAGTGATATCTCCAGACAGAAAATTGCTAGAAGTTAGAAATTTTCAAAGTGATACATACAATACTAAAGCTGTGCAATGACCTATTATTTTTCAGATATGTGAATGCTTTCATATATTTTAGCCCTTCTCAAAATTCATGAGAAAAAATCTCCAATTACATAATTTAAAACAGCTCTAAATATTGTTTGGATTGGTCTAACAAGAAAATAATAGGTTATTGCACAGATAATACATGTATGAACTCACAGTGAAAATTTCATACTTGTATGTACAATATTTCAGAAGATATCACAAAAATTGGCATTCGCAAGACTGAAATTTTAGAATATGAGAAAAAACCTTTTAAAGTTTGATTTCAATGTTTAACTTTGGAAAAAGTGCATGTTCCTGGTTAAAAACCACCAGCCTCATACTTGGGTCCTTCTTTAGCTTGTTGGGTTTCATTGTAACCCTTTTTCTTCTGCCTTATCTGTCTGCGGCGCTTTTTACAGGCATCAGAGCTCTTTCGGCGCGAGTCACAAACCCGGTCCCTGTCAAACTTCTGACATGCTTTTGTTGCATGGCTTCCAGGTACAATGCCAAGATTTTCCAGAACTGATAGTAATGTTCTGGATCCATCATTGAAGTGACCCACTGCTAAATAGGTTGCCAATTCAACAGTGGGGAGGCTGGAATGGGTCTCCTTAATAGCACGCTGCCAAATCAGTGCATTGAAAGCCTCATTTTGGTTTTGAGTGCCGCCATGAAGACAACTAGATAACAATTCCTCTGCAGTTAGTGCTTCAAAGACTGGGTGAATTGAGGATGCCACAGCTTGAGGGAGAGAATTTTTGCGAGAGTAGGTGGTTGTTCCTTTTGCAAGATCTCTTTGGAAGCCACACCAGGAATCCTTCCCAGCGGGGCAGAGAGTGTGGTTATGTTTCTCATCTGTTGACTGCATGTGATACCAGATGGCCCAAATAGCATCTTGCATTGCTTTCACAGAATGGTTACTGTTTCTGATAGCTTTACCATAATACACTTGTAAGCTATCAATAACATTGTCTGTCAGTCTCCCTCGTCCCCCAATTGGCTTACCATCATCAAGATGAGTCTTACCACAGTGTTTCTTCAGGGATCGAAGCCGCGAGCCCATACGTTTCTGAACATGCCCAACACATTCAAGCTTTGTGACCTTCACACCCTCATACACATCCTTTTCTGTGATCTCATTGAATGCCTTGCTGTCCCCATCTCCCAGAAAGTCGACATAACGCAAACCATACTTCTCAATGGATCGTTGAAAAATAGCAACACCTCCAGCAGCATCCATTGCTCCTGATGATCCTTCAAAATTTGCATGGGAATTATGCTGATGTCCCTCCCACCACTCCTCAAACTCGATTGTCCCTTCTTTCCCTCTCCATAAAATACATTGTCGACACTCTTTCGACATCACTTCTATGTCCAAGACCTTGCCTGTAACTAAGGACATCCCAGTCACAACACCATATGAAGACGAATACCCCCTTCGTCTCCACGTCCCATCAGCTGAAATGCCAATATCATAGTTCCCATCCTCTTCCACTTCATAAAATTGTTTGGTTTCATCACTTGCACTATTCATACTTTCCTTGCAGACGACTTCAGCGGCAGCATGTATGGCACTAACATGGTCCCGGTATGCATTTTCATTCATTGGTGGTAGCATGTTCATGGTGCAAGCAAATTTTGAAAGTCCTCGGTGCCCAATGCCAATGTTTCATCCAGCCAACACAGCTCTACGATTTACCTCAAAAGCTTTACCATTACACACAGTTTTTGATGTATAAAAACTCCTCAAGTACTTACAATTCCGAGCTGAACATTCAAGGATCATCTGTGATGCAAATCCTTTTTTACCTTCCAGTTTCTCCTTCATAATTATATTGCCACTTCGACATTCAGGACACCAAAACGTCTCCATTATTTCTGCTAGTATAGCAATGTCAACAAAACGAAAACCTTCGGTGCTTTCTGGTAGTTCTATTTCATCCTCACTGGAACTTTCCAAATCAAGTTTTCTCGCAGAAGCAGGCACATCTTTTGTCTCAATTTGCACAGGCTCATCAACAGAACTCTCGCTTGACATCTCTTCAGCCGAAATATCCGCTCCAGTCGCTGATGTTTGTTCAGAATTACGTTGCCGTGTGTACATATTACCTGTAAACTGCCTTTTTTCCTCTTCATACTTCTAAATTTCTTCTTAGGAAGCATTATTCAACCAAAGTTAGATAGCTATGTTCGCTTTTCAGATTCTGACAAATATATTTTCGCACATGTAACCGCTCCTTCACAATTTACAAACTAGTTAACAGGCCTTTAGCTACTCTTCCATTTAAGGTGGCTAGTAAACGTTTTTGGGATACATAGGGTGCAAAACAGAGCATTTTTAGCACAAAAACATGCAAAAACAAATATGGTTTCCATGGAAACGACATTCAAAATGGACAACCTTGTGTACTAAATGGTCTATTTTGATGAAAATAAGCTACATATCAAAATAAAACATTTTCTGAGGGAAACTAGAATAGTCCTAGATGCAAAATTTCATGGTTGCAGAAAAACACTTTTTTCCAGCAATTTTGACTATCAAGCCACCTTAATAGATCTACCTAATCTGATTGCTTTTCATGTTTGGGAATGTCATGACTTCTTTGACATGGATGAACCTCAGGTCTTATCCACATGTCCTCATCAGGTAGATTAGGATTGACAGTTGATAACCAATCAACATATTGACATACTGTGTCAGCTGCTTGCTGATCAGCTTCAATATCCTGGTCTAGTTCAGTTGTGTCAGAACAATCATTTTCATTTTTAAATTTTTGAGCTAAGAATCCTTTTAGGGCAGTCTGAGTAAGTTGACACAAACCTGGGTAATTATTTAGTTTAGCAGTACCATGACAATGGATACTACCTCCAGTCCCATTTTGCACCAAGTGTATCATAAAGCAGTGTTTGAACAAACTTTTCTAGTCTTTGTGTAAAGAACCAATCAACTATATATGTGGATTGTTAATAACATTTTGTCTCCTTGCCTCACTAGTGGCATTACCAGTGTTTGTTCCAAAGAGAGCATGTAATTCAGGCCAGTGCATATCTGCTGATAAGAAAGTAAAGAACAATTTTGGTGCTCCAACACTAGTTATTATAGCTTTGAATTCCTCTCTCACTTTATTTCAGTAAGCATTAGTACCTGCAATATTGTATCTGGACACTTTGGACATTAATCAAGCAGAGTTGTTGCTCGCAGCCATTTCATGTAGCTCATCAATAGTGAGGTGTGCTTCACCTGGGTTTTCTTTAATGAATATCCCTTACCAAACTGACAGATATGTGACAGATATATGTCACAGTTCTGTAAAATATCTGCAAAATATATGTACGAAAGTATCTGTCACATATCTGTAACATATATGAATTTGGCCCCATAACATATCTGTCACAGTTATGTGACAGATATCTGTCACAGTTATGTGGCAGATATCTGTCACAGTTATATGAAAGATATCTGTCATATATAGGAATTTGGCCCAATAACATATCTGTCACAGTTATGTGACAGTATAGTTTCCCTACAGATAAAATTATCTGTATATTATCTACCAAACAGATATGTAACATACCTGCCACCAAGTGAGATTTATCTCTTGCATAAAACTATTTCCTCTTACTTCTGCAACATCACGTTGCTGCAACTGTACCTCTCATGTTCACTTGAAGCCATAAATAATTTAATACGAAGAAATATTAGATCAGAATAGTAAATGTATTTATTAGTAAATATATAATTATAGTTTACACATATAGATAAATTTAAGACTGTACAATCAATTTTTCTCCAGGGGCCCATTGTTCAAGGCTGGATTAGCTTAACCCTAGGTTAACCTAAAATTCAAAGCAAACTTCCTGATAGCTTGTCTATAAATTTGGAAATATTTCTTCAGAGATCTTGTCTGGATCGATAGGAGTTTTCTTCTCTGATGTTTTGAAATAAACAGGCGTGTAGAAATATACAAACTAAAACAGCAGGCTAAATTTTAAGCCAGGGTTAGCTCTAGTCCAGCATTGAACAACCAGCTCCTGGGGCAGAGTAATTACACTGACTATAACCTACACTTATTTAAAATTTCCTAATATTATATTTATATACATGGCCAGAAATAAATAATGAGTACCTAAAGTCATTAATTGTTAATCTCAAGTCTCACTCAGCTGGTTTGCTTTTAGTTCAAGCCCCACACAGTGGCGAAGCCAGCCTGAAAATTTGGTCATGCTATGCAAATTTTAAATCATCATCATTCATTTCTTTACTTTAGAAATTGATTGTTTTCCCGGTTTATGAACACAGAAATATTTGCATAGCATGACCAAATTGTTGGGCTGGCTTCGCTACTATTGATAAAATCAGATTTATTTAATTAATAATAATGTTTTAGATTTAATTGGCATTGAGACATCAAGAATAATCTAGATAGTGTTAGGCCAAATAGGGGATGTCCTTAGGGTAGCCACGTCTAACAGATTACCAGGTATATATTGGCTTAATTAACGATCTACTAGGTTGCATTTGATTTGATACTCTTTTTGTAAAGTATATTACAGGAGACATTAGGGTTTACTAATGAGTTGGGCCAAAGAAATTACCGACCCTAATCTTTTTATCTGAAGTTTGCAAAGAGTTCGGAACAATTTTTCGTACCCAGTTTGTGGCGTTAGTTTTGTGCTAGCTATATAATACTTGTGTTTGTGGAAACACCATGTAACTACATATGGTGTTTCCACAAACAAAAGTATTATATGTTTTATCACCATGAAAACCTACAAAGAAAGTATAACCTGTTTGTTTCAAAATCAAAGTTGATGTAATATTTAATGAATGTTTGTGTCATCTGTGCTGTCGTAATTGATGTAGAATATCATTCTCATGCATGAACATTTATAATAAAAAATTTACAACAGAAAAAGAAAACCCTACCTACCCTGCCTAAATTTTTTGCGTATGAGAAATAGAAACCCAGGCATTTCTTTTTGTGGACTTAGTATGAAGCATGGAAAGATAGGTAAAATTGTTTGGTATCAGACAGAGTAAATTAATTTAACAAGACAGAGCACATTAGGACAAATTGAAGGTCAGTGGGTCCAGCCACAGCCCTCCCCCTGTATTATTACAGGCCTATGGACAGCTCTACATGTCCCATACTGTAATGACTCATTCATGACAAAAAACTGGCTATTGCACACTGACCCTTTATACTTCTGGCATAATTTAGACTATTATAGCACTAAACTACTAAAGCCCTACACACTATGCTCAATTCTTGGTATGGCACAGATAAAACTGGTACCTGTACCAAATTAATCTGTGCTCGGCCAGTATGTATAGGTAGTCTAAGCATGGTAAACATGTAACTGATACAAAAATTGAGCACAGTGTCAGTGTTAACAGGCCTTAAAATGGCTGCATTTGGAGGTAAACTTAGGAATCATGTGTAATTATGTTGTTACTAGTTACTAAATTTTTTTAGGGGCTGTTTATAAGATTGAGACTGATTTGTCTGGCCTAGGTGGCCACCTTAGCTGGGCCAGTTTGTGATTTTTTTCATAGAAAGCACTAAAAGCTGACTATTTATTCTTGTTAATTCTTACCTTACAACACCAGTTTGTCAACTCAATCCAGATCTGATTGTTGAGACTTGAGAACAATATTTGGAGCACACCGGGTGTAGAAACGGTTTTGATATTTTCATAGCTTTATAATTTATGTTAATTAATTTATTGTTTATTTTATGTTTAAGACTTCATGTAAGATTGTATATAGTAATGTATATTAGACAAACATTCGGTCGAGCGTGTCCGCGTGGTTTTTGAGTTTATTTCGTCGGGAAAAAGCAGTCTATAGAATAGAGATATTCGAAATAAGTAAACCCATGTTTACATTTGGTCCTCACAAGCCGGATTTAAGTTAATTTAGAGTGTTTTTGGACGAATTTAGAGCGAAAATTCGTAGTTTCATTTTCACTTCGTACACCGGAAGTGTACAAAATCGGGATATAATATCGTGTTATAACTAAGAGAAAATTTAGTTTAAAGTTTTATCGACGCCTTTTATGAACGATGGCTGAGGAAATTGAAGTACAGAACCAAGAAGAAACAGCAGAAATCGATGAGGAACAAGCTACAAAAGTCAACAAGAAACAACTTGAGGAACATATCATGAATTTCAAAGGGGAAAAACGTAGTGCAAAATCACATATGACACGGTTACTAAATAACATGGCGGCCATGCTATCGGACTCGAATACTGAACAAAAATATGTTAAAGAATTGTTATTAAGAATTGACGAACAGAAAGACGAAACATTGCATATTATGAATCAACTCGAGGATATTTATCAGCGAAGCAAAGAATATGAAAATGCTAAAAAAGTAAATGACGAAGCGGATGCACTGGTCGATCAAGTGGAATATGAAACAAGTTCAGCGCGTATGTTTTTAACATCGTTGGCAAAGAAACAGTGGAGTTCAAGCGCAGTGACGGTAACAAGCAGCAAAGAGTCGAACGTGGGCGAGACTTCGAAACAGAGGCAAGATGAAGATGAAAGGACAAAAAATGCGGGACTTTGGGCACGTATACGAAACGAAGCAGAAGTTCAAAAGAAAAGAGAATTGTTAGAAGAACAAGAAAGGCAACTACGAACAGCCGAAGAGCAAGCAGAGAAAACACGTCAAGCGTTAGGTGTATTAGAGAAGGGGAATAATGAAGACAATGAGAATCAACAAAATAGCGAACAGTCAAACACAGTAGAAAGAATCGAGGTCAATGAAACCCCAATGAGAACAGCTCAGATATCACTTCCAGTAAACAGTAACACACCTACCAGAGGGGCGGGGCGACTACATCTCAAGCACAATTGGAGAGAATTTGCATTCCAGTATTTTCAGGTAACAAAATGGATTTTCAAAAATGGCGTGCAGCATTTATAAGCTGTGTTGATTTAACATCCCTTTCATCACAATTCAAAATGCTACGTTTGGAAGCTTGTCTTACTGGTGAAGCAGCAGAGACTATAAAAGGATTGGGATATTCAACAGAGGTGTATGAAGCAGCAAAAGCACACCTGGTCCGCAAATACGGTGGCAGTCGGAGACAAGTACAATCGCATTTGGATGAGTTAAAGAAATTAAAACCCCTCGAAGAGAACAATCCAAAAGAATTGGAAAAATTTGCAGATATTTTGGAACGAGCTGTAATTACTCTGAAAGAAAATGGTCGCGAGTCAGATTTGGAGAGTGGAATATTGCATACAATAATATTGTGGAAAATTCCGGAGCGTTTACTTCCACAGTATTACCGTTGGGTAAAAGAAAACCACTACAAAGATTCCTTGGAAAAATTGAAAGATTGGGTAGCTGAAGAAGCGGAATATCAAATGCAAGCATCTGAAATTAAAAATGGAATCAATTCGGATGGTGAAAGAAGAAAGGAGAGAAGATATAGGACATTCTTCAATAAAGAAAGCGGTAAGAAAGAGTGCGATCCATGTTCTGCTTGTGCAGGAAGTCATCCAATTTGGAAATGTGACTCTTTCTGAAGTCAAGCTATTGATGAGAAATGGAAAATTGCGAGAAGAGTTGGGCTGTGTTACAGATGCCTCGGGAAAGATCATTTGGGGAGTTCGTGTACAAGAAGTCGACAGTGTAATATTAATGGTTGCAAGGAAACCCACCATCGTTTACTCCATGGGCAAAGAAGAGTCAATACCAAAGGTCCTAATCAAGATAGCAATGTTCCGGAAAAACCTCCCATGAAACAAATGGATCCAGAAAAGAAAAATCTTCAAGAACAGGCTCTTGGCACGGAGGGGAATGGCAATACACAAGCCACTACAATGAAAACCAGCACAGATCATGCTACCAGGAAAATAGCACTGCGCACGATCCCAGTTATTTTTAAAAATGGAATGCGTAAAGTTCATGTAAACTGTCTGTTGGATGAAGGAAGTAACACTACTTACATCAACGAGGATGTTATAGAAGAACTAGGTTTAACCGGAGTGAAAGAAAAAATCGAAGTCAAGGTAGCAAATGACCAGACAATTAGTTTTATGTCGAACACGTTTACGATTGGGCTCGAAAGCATGGACGGAAGAGTAGATACAGAAATTGTGGCAAAAACCTTGGGAAAGATCTGTGGGGGAATGAAAGCTGTTAACTGGTTAACCATAAAACAAAATTGGAATCACTTAAAAAAGATCCCATTCCCAAAGTTAGTGAAAGGAAATCAGATCGATCCTTTTGGGAGCAGACCACTATGAATTAATGTATTCAATGA